ATCATTGCTGTTTTTGAATCCGTTGCATCCACTATGTCAATCTATTTCTTTGAAGATTTTCCTTTTTTTCTATCATAGTCTAGCAACCATATCCATCTTCTGATAACATGTCAAAAGCACATTAGACACATTCTTGTCAACCTCATTTCCAAGGAGCATTGTGTCTTCCATGACACAATTGTTTATTCTTCTGGTGATCCAAGGTTTATTTATTGTTCTTTACCAGCACCACAATTTGGAGGCATCATTTAAAACAAAACAAACAAACAAACAAAAAACCACCACAAACAAACCTGGACCATTTTAATGTTTTTTATCATAATAAATAGTTCCTTTGACTTGCAGGACTTGTAAGGAAGGCTTTTTGGTAGCATTCGGAAGCACATGGTACTGCTGGTTTTCTGACTGGTTTGTCATCAATTGTGAAAGTGCTATTAGACCAATAAGACAGCATTTATGCAGCCATCATTTTCAGGATTGTTGGTAACCTGGGCATATTTCCCCCAAATAAGCTTGCCTCCTTTGTGTCACAGGCCCAACACACTCATGTTCACCTCAATAATGGTGCTTTTGGTGATAACACCTAGAGTTGTATACAGTGGGAATGAAGGATTCTTCTTTACACAAAGTATTGGCAGGCAAAATGTGGCTTTAAGTTCAGGAGGTGTTTGCATGTGCCTTCTTGAAATATAAGCCCATTGGTCTGATGAATCTTTTCTATTTAGGTGGTTTTTGTGTAAAGCCACCTCCAACAAAGCACACTTAAGTAACCATCCTCTTCCAGGCTTTCTTTGTTCTCTTTCCTGTTCGAATAACTTTCAGTACTTCTGTTTCATCTGGGCACGAACTTTGGGGAGAGGAACTTCCCATTTTCCCACTTTCTCTTTGTTTTTGTTTAATTGTGTTGGAAAGTACTTTAACTCAGACTGCCCCTCTCTGTCCAACAGATAGGCAGGTACTGCACCTTGTGGAGTCTTCTCATCATTCTTTTGTTTGGTGTTTCTTTTTTCATGCATCTTGATAGTCTTTTTCATTTGTATTTTCTCAGCATGGCGCTGCTTATGGTACAGCTTTTCCTTCAGACCAATCATCTTCTTTGCCTTCTTTGAACACTCATGAGCTTCTCTACTTTCTTTCTTTCTTTCTCTTTTCTTCATGGTAATCCAAATGGTACCCATAAGCACTTTCGGTGTCGCTCAGTATACTAATTTTGTGTCATGTGACTGCAGCAAAACCCCCAGGCGCAGTCTCTGGGGCGCAAAGAAGCTCTTAACTTTCAGGTCTGGAGGCATCATTTTTATCTCAGTCTTTCTTATTCCTAGCTCAACTTTCCTACACACAACTAACGGTTGAAAATAGCATGTCTGGAAGCCAATGTAACATAGTCTTTAAAGTGACATCCTTGCTCTTTAGCACTTGAAAGATGTTCTTAGCAACAGATTTGCCCAATTCAATACATTGCATCTACAAATCATCCTGAACTTTGAATTATGCAATATTCTCTAGGCCTTGGTACAGTTTCTGCCTGTGTATTAAGTATTAAATATTGTGGAGTTTTCATTCTTCACAAAATTATCCATAATTTGTTATGATCCACAAACCTTTACATAGTCAATAAAGCACAGGCAAATATCTTTATGATATTCTATGATTTAATCCAAAATTCATTTAACATCAGCAATGATAATTCATGTTCCATTATGTCTTCTGGATCCAGTTTTAATTTCTAGAAGTTCCTTGTTGATGCTACTGCTCTGGGCAGTTTTTAATTATCTTTTCCAGTAATTTGTTGTTGTTGTTGTTATGTGCCCTCAAGTCACCTACAACTCATAGCAACCCTAAGTACAACAGCTCTGAAGCCTGCCCTGTCCTAAGCCTGTCTCACTGACTCTGACACACCTACCCCCATTTCCCCAGTTACTGTATCAATCTGTCTCATCCGGGGTCTTCCTCTCTTAATATATCTCTCACCTTTCAAGCATGATTCCCTTATCCAAGGACCTTCCTGATCATGTGCTCAAAGTATGTGAGATGGAGCTTCAAAATCCTAGTCTCCAAAGAGAAACTTGGTTTCACCCTCTCCAAGACAGACCTATTTGTTTCCTTGGAAGTCCATGATATTTTCAAGATTCTCCAGCATCACAACTCAAAAACATTGATTCTCTTTCTGTCATCCTTAGTCATTGTCCAGTTCTCATATGCATTGCAAGTAATTGCAAAGACTATAGCCTAGATCAGGCACACCTTAGTCTCTCATCATTGCTTCTCAGTACTCTGGAAAGGTCCCTGACAACAGATTTTCCCAATGCAATTAGTCTTTTGATTTCCTGACTGCTGGTGCCAAGAGTGCTGATTGTGAAGCCAAGCAAGCTGAAATTGTTAACAACCTCAATCCATTCTCCATCTGTCTTGGTGTTGCCAATTGCCCTAGTGGTGAGAATCTTTGTTTTCTTAATGTAGAGCTTCAATCTGTATTGAAGACTACGGTTCTTGACCTTCTGCAACAAACACTTCATGTCCTCTTAAGTTCGGCGAGTACAAATTAGTGTCCTAGAATTCTTGTTTTTTGTCATATTTCCTTCATTTTCTATGATGTAAACAGAGTTGGATGTATTTGCAGAGTCAATAAAACAGAGGTAAACATCTTTCTGGCATTCTGTTTTCATCCAAGATCCATCTGATGTCAGCTATAATATGCCTAATTGCGCATTCACCTCCTCTGAGATTTCCAGCCTTTGAAATCCCTGGAGGGTCAGCTAAGGATAGTCAAGAGTAATGAGTTTCAGGTTTTTGTTTAAAATAGCTTATGGGAAAGTGCTGGGAATTGCTATGAGTTGGAACTGACTTATCAGCAGTGAGTTTGAGTTTTGAGGGCCTCATTATCTTGAGCATTTCTTCATTTATTTGTTGGCCATTTGGATGTTTTCTTTATTGAAATGTCTTTTCATGTCCTCTGCCCATTTTATAATTGGGCTGCTTGTCTTTTTCTTGCTGAGGGGTTGGAGTTTTCTATAAATTTTAGAAATAAGTAAAATGGGAAATCAGGACATAATGCTCAATTAATTCTCCAAAGATGCAACATGAAACAAAATCACTTAGTGGAAACTTTAGTTCTGCATATTTCTAAAGTTTCCCTTGAGTCTCTTATATTACCTCAACCTTCTCCACAAAGAGATACAGAACATTATTTGTTTGAAGTCATAGGATCTTTTGAGAAACCCTGTCTCCATTCAGAGCTATAGGTAACCATATAATAAATAGAATTCATTATGTGTGGTATAAAGATCCTGGGTCGATCTTGCTCCTTTGTCCCCACTTCCCGGGCTTGGTCAACTACACTTCCCAAGATAGTGGTGTTGAGATCATCCATGACAGACACTAGTATGATTAGAGGGAAAAGGACAACCGAATCCTCTGGTATCTCCCTGTCCTTTATTGAATTGAAACCCAAAGAGTCTCTTCACAACTTCCCAATAGTTTTGCATGAATTTTTATTCCTAAACTTACACTTGGGGAGCTCTTATGGTCTCGTGGTAAGAAGCGGTACCACAATTCCTTATGCAAGAGGTTCAAATCCACCAATGCTTCACGGGATTAGGACAGGTAATCTCCTCCGAGGTGTACTGCCTCTGAAAACCTGCGGAAGGGTCAGCTATGTGTTGGTTCCAACTCAACAGCAAAACAACAAATTTCTCTTTGCCTCAGACCGCAAGACTATGCTGCTACAATTTTTACCACAATTGGAATTATCTGTGCGGTGTTTGTCTCATCTCGACGTTTCAATATCTGATCTCAGCTCAGAGTGAGCATGGTGCACTTGAACCACTAACCCAGGGTTACTATGATTCTTTTCCCAGACTTCACAGAGTTGCCAGGAATATAGGCAAATGTCACAAGGATGTGCACTCTAAAAGTTCAACAGGCGGAAACACACTAGTATCTGCTTATTTTAGGGGTAGCAACTGCTACCAAATACTTTTAGGCCAAATACTAACATTACCAGGGATCACAACTTCACACTCTATAAAGCCAAGTCATTGGATCCATTTTCCTAAATTGGCCGATTCGTGCATGTAATAAAGACTTCAGCAAAGGTAGTAAATGAGGTTGTACTGGCAGAAAAGAAGAAACAAAACTAGATTCTCTGTCCAAAAGCTGAATCTAGGTCTCCTCATGTGAATGGAGAACTCCGCTAATGCCTCTCCAGAATGAAGTGAGGATTGTGTTCTGGTCTCCCATCTGACAGAAGATCCAAACTCTCTGCCGTCGAGTTGATCCTCATTCTCATCCACCCTCCATCGAGTTTCAAGGGATGCACATATTTCCCGCAGGAGACCCCATCTTTCTCCCGCAGAGAAATGGAGGATTAGAAACGCTGACCTCACCATTAGCAACATGACACATATGCATGAACATAGGGCGGAAAATGAGGCCTGATCTGCAATGCTGACTGGAGCGTCTGGTTGCTAAACGAAAGATTCCGGGAGAGAAAAACTGAGTAGCAGCGAGTTATAAACTCATTTGTGTTGATCACAGAAGGTTTCTCTTCCTGCGGTATTTCTTCTCTTGACAGAAGTTTAAGGAAATAAATATATTGTTCCCGCCCAGTTTCGAACCGGGGACCTTTCGCGTGTGAGGCGAACGTGATAACCACTACACTACGGAAACCACCTGTCTCCTTTGCTCTATGAAAATATACCAGAGACTACCAGAGGGATTCCTATCTGTGCTTCATTGACTCTGCAAAAGTATTTGATTTGTGCGAATCACAACAAATTGTGGCTTACCTTGAGAAGAATGGGAATCCCAGAACACGTAATTGTGCTCATGGGAAACCTGTATTTGGACCAGGAAGCGGCGAGGCAGCTGACGCGCTGTGCTAAGGACAGGGAGCAGACGCTCTTTGTGATGATCACTGGACAAGAGAATGGCTCTTGGGAAGGTCGGGGTCCTGGTCTCGCAGGTGTGATGGAAGAAACGAGGACATCTTTCTTTGTATTTCTCTGGTGGTCTAGTGGTTAGGATTCGGTGCTTTCATCGCCGCGGCCCGGGTTCAATTCCCGATCGGAGAAAGTACTTTTGCACTCTCCTCCGTAGACTTTTGCCCGATTGAAACAGGAAGCGTAAGATTCTACACTTTTGCCTACCCTTGCTGTTGTTGTTAAGTGTCATCGAGCGTACCACTCCATCAAAAGCTGGCGAGGTTGTGGAGAAACTGGAACCCTTATTCACTGTTGGTAGGAGTGTAAAATGGTGCAAACACTATGGAAGGAAGTATGGTGCTTTCTCAAAAAGTTGCAAATAGAGATACCATTTGACCCAGCAATTCCACGACTGGGAATACACCCCAAAGAGACCATAACTGACATCCAAGCAGATATATGCACACCCATGTTTATTGCGGTTTTGTTCACAATAGCAAAGAGTTGGAAACTAAGTGCCCATCAACAAACGAATGGATAGAGAAGCTGTATATTCACACAATGGAATACTATTCTGCATTGAAAAACAAAGAACTTATGAAATATTATACAAAATGGATGACCCTGGAGAATATTATGCTGACTGAAATATCTCAGTCACAAAAGGACAAATATTGCATAGTGCCACTGTTGTAAAATGGGACTGACATAGGAGTTGGGGAAGGAGACTGAGAAAGTTGTATAAATTATGTATACTGCATTGAACAACAACTGCATTGAAACAGATGAGGGAGAGAACTGATTAAAAACTATATAAAATAAGGTATTATTGTCATGATAGGAGTCCAGAACGAAGGCTGCATAGTGGAGTGGACTGGGGAAGGGGGAGGAGGAGATTGTATAACAATGAAAGAATTTTTCTTTTACTTTTCAAAGAGTAGAGCGAACTGGGGGCAGAGGTGGGCAGGGAGAAAAAAATGCAACAATGAATAAATGGAAATCCAAAGTCTCTGTAAATTTTCATTGTTGTTGTTGTTATGTGCCGTCGAGTCGCCTGCGACTCATAGCGACCCTATGTACAACAGCCCTAAACTCCACTCTGTCCTGCGCCAATCGCACTGTCTCTGACACTCCCATCCCAATTATCCCAGTCACTGAGGGCCTTCCTCTCCTGCGCCGTCCCTCCACCCTCCCAAGCATGATGTCCCTCTCTAAGGACCGGTCTCTCCTCACAACATGTCCAAAGTATGTTAGACAGAGCCTCAGAATCCTTGCCTCCAAGGAGCCACCCGGTTTAACCCTTTCCAGGACAAATCTGTTTGTTTTCCTAGCAGTCCATGGTATTCTCAATACTCTTCTCCAGCACCACAGCTCAAAGGCATCAATTCTCCTTCTATCCTCCCTGGTCATTTCCAACTCTCTGATGCATAACAAATGATTGCGAAGACCATGGCCTGTATCAGACGCACCTTAGTCTACAGAAAGACACCATTGCTCTTGAGTACTTTGGAGAGGTCCCTAACAGCAGACTGTCCCATGGTAATGAGCCTTTTAATTTCCTGGCTGCTGGTGCCAAGCCTGTTGACTATGGACCCAAGCAAACTAAAGCTGTGTACAGTCTCAATCTCTTCACCATCCATCCTGATGCTGCCAATTGGTCCAGTGGTGAGAATCTTTGTCTTCTTGACATTGAGCCTCAATCCATATTGTAGGCTGCAGTCCTTGACGCTCTGCAGCAGGCGCTTCAGGTCCTCTTCAGTTTCAGCAAGCAGCATTGTGTCATCCGCATAACGCAGATTGTTGATAAATTGTCCACCAATCTTGACCCCACATTTCTCCTCATAGAGCCCAGCCTCCCGGATATTCTGTTCTGCATATAGGTTGAAAAGGTATGGAGATAGGATGCATCCCTGGCATACGCCCTTCCCAATTTTGAACCATGCAGTGTTCCCTTGCTCTGTTCTGACAACTGCCTCCTGGTCCAAGTATAAGTTTCGCATTAGAACAATCAAGTGTTCTGGGATTCCCATTCTTCTCAGAGTCAACCATAGTTTGTTATGATCTACACAGTCAAATGCCTTTGCATAGTCAATGAAACACAGATAGACATTCTTCTGGTATTCCCTGCTTTCAGCCAAGATCCATCTAACATCAGCTACAATATCTCTAGTACCACGACCCCTTCTAAACCCAGCCTGGACTTCTGGTAGCTCTCTGTTGATGTGCTGTTTCAGTCGTTTTTGGATAATCTTCAGTAAACTCTTGCTTGCATGTGAAATCAGTGAGATTGTTCTGTTGTTTCCACATTCTGTTTGGTCACCTTTCGTTGGGATAGGAACAAATATCCATCTCTTCCAGTCAGTTGGCCAAGTGGTTGTTCTCCAGATTTCTTGGCACAACTTGGTTGAGCACATCCAGGGCAGCATCTGTTAACTGAAATATGTCAATTGTTATACCATCTATTCCTGGAGCCTTATTTTTTCCCATTTCCTTCAAAGCAGCCTGAACTTCTTCTTTCATCACCATAGGCTCTTGCTCATATGTTGTTTCTTGAAATTCTTCTGTGTCTTCCAATTCTTTTCGATACAGTGACTCAGTATATTCTTTCCATCTTCTTTTAATAGTTCCTGGATCATTTAACATTCTGCTGAAAGCATCCTTGATTATAGCAACTCGAGGTTTGAATTTGTTCTTCAGTTCCTTGAGCTTAAGATATGCTGAGCGAGTTCGGCCCTTTTGATTTTCCGACTCCAACTCCTTGCACATTTCATTGTAATATTTTGCTTTGTCATCCCGTGCTGCCTTTTGAAATCTTCTATTCAACTCTTTAGTATCTCGAATTCTTCCCTGTGCTTTGGCTTCTCTGCGCTCCAGTTCAATTTTCAGAGTGTTTTCTGACATCCATTTTGGTCTTTTCTTCCTCTTCTGTCTTTGCAATGACCGACAAATCTTTCATTAAAATTAATAATTAAGTTTGAATCTACCAGATGCTCTGCTGGAGAAGGAGGGGCAATCTCTTTCTGTGCAGTCAGATCCGATTGGATGGTACACAAACAAAAAATAAGAAAAGAAAATTTTGTTAGATTAATACTTTTAAAAAAAGAGGACCAAACAACTATGAGATATCATCTCACCCCAGTAAGAGTAGCAGAATTAAACAGAACAGGAAATAACAAATGCTGGCAAGGTGGTGGAGAAACTGGAACCATTATTCACTGTTGGTGGGAGTGTAAAATAGTGCAACCACTATGAAAGGTTGTATGGCACTTTCTCAAAAGGTTGCAAATAGAAATACCATTTGACCCAGCCATTCTACTACTTGGAGTATAACCCAAAGAAACCATAACCGCCACCCAAGCAGATATATGCACACTCATCTTTATCGCAGTGTTGTTCACAATAGCAAAGAGTTGGAAACAACCTAAGTGTCCATCAGCAAATGAATAGATAGAGAAACGGTGGTATATTCACACAATGGAATACTATTCTTCATTGAAAAACAAGGAACTGATGAAATATTATTCAAAATTAATGACCCTGGAGGACATTAAGCTGAGTGAAATATCTGTCACAAAAAGACAAATACTGCATAGTGCCACTGTTGTGAAACGGGACAGACATAGGCGTTGGGGGAGGAGACTGAGAAAGTTGTATAAATTATGTATACTGCATTGAAACAGATGAGAGAGAGAACTGTTTAAAAGGCATATATGATTTTTTTTAAAGGTATATATGATTAAGTATTATTGTCATGACATGAATTCGGAATGAAGGCTGCATAGTGGAGTGGACTTGGGGAGAGGGACTCTATAACAATGAAAGAATTTTTCTTTTACTTTTCCAAGAGGGTAGTGTACTGGGGGGAGGGGGGAAAAGTGCAACAATGAATGAATGGAAGTCCAAAGTCTGTAAATTTTCATCAAAATTGATAATAATAATAATAATAATTTTTTTTTAAATCTGTGCGTCATTCCAGCAAGTTAATAAACCCACAGAGAAAATGACCCAAAAAAAAGATGGGGGGAAGAGAGTATCACTCATAGCCACCCTATAGATGATAGATCTGAATCTTTTCTTATCCTATGTCATCTCCATCATCTCAGATATGCTTGATACCATTGCTGCAGTCATTGTGTCAATCCATCTGGTTGAAGGTTTCCCCCTCTTTCACTGACCCTCTGCCTTTGCAAGCCTGATGTCCTTTTCCAAGAAAAAACCTAACAACATGCTCAAAGTCTGTGAATTGGAAACGTCACTACCCTTGCCTTATTTTTTGTCTCAAAAAAACAAAAACAAACAAACAATCAAAAACCACCTTTTTCTTCACGTATCTGGTGTTTGTATGCCTATTGCAATTTTCTCTGCACCGAACTTGCTATTCCTTTCTAAGACTTTCGGCCTTGGGTTGACCACTGTACATGGATAGAATAGCTCTTTCATCTTGTTTAAAACCAGCCAGAAAAAAGACATTCTGATGAGTGGGCCATTTTCACTTGTGCCTCTCCCCAAAGCAGGGTAGTAATTGAGCTTTTCCCTCCAAGATTTCTCTGAAGGTCAAAGATACTATCGTTTTCTTCTCTTTTACACATTCAGAGAAACTCTCAATCAAATGGCTAAATGAAGGAAAGTCTATCACAAAAGGGCATCATTTCTACCTGTTTTTCTTTTCTAATAATTTCTTGTAAGAACAACTGAAGGAAATAAAATGATGAAGTTGACTTTAAAATGTTTCTCATTCAGAAATCGGTCATTTTTTATATTAATGAGGTAGAGATTGGGGTGGGATATATTTTGAAATCCTACTCTGCAAGAAAGTATTATTATTTAAGTCACCACTCATCTTCTCCTGGGCACGTGGTTTATAACCCTGAGATTCGAGAGAGGGAGGATTGCTCTTGGGAAACTCAATCCCTGCTCCCTCAGAAACTGCCTGCAGCCTAACCAGCTGCCCCCAGAAGACAACGGCGAGCCTCCGGCTGCAGACGCCTCTCTCACCCGTCTCTGCCACCTCGTGCATCGGCCTGCACCATCTACAACGCGGGAGCGATTTCCCTGACGGATTCTGAGCTTCTGTGAGACCTCCCAGCGAATCACAGAATCCAAAGACAGGAGTGAGAGGGCTGAGGGAAGGAGCCATAGGATGTCAGAGA